ACTCAGGTCCCTGGTTAGTGTCTTTCCCACTCTAGTGAGATGCACTGTGATTCTCCTTAGATTATAACTGCTTTGCTCATTTTGCATCTGCACTTGTAAACAGGCATGTTCAATTTTACTTGAATCAATTTTCCTGTCGTGTCCTCTTTATTAAGAGAAGGGTGTTCTTCTTTTCAGTGATGTTTAAGTGCCATAGTGTCCTAATCAGAAGTAAGTTCCATTGAGTTCAGCAGGGCTTCTTCCCAGTTAAGTGGGTATAAGACTGCTGCCTGGTAGCCGAAAAATGAGAAGTGGTGTTGGGCTTTGCATCTGTTTCTTTGCTTTAGAATTTCTAGGTGAGGATATGGAAGGAAAGGCATTGATTATTTATGCCTCTGGATTTGTAAGTATCCTCCGTACCCTCCATGCAGAGGTCAAAACAAATAGGCATAATTCTGATTCCATGGAAAAATAAAATAAGGAATGAGAATGGAGTGTCAGAAAAATATGCTCAGCAAACTGTCCCACAGGGTGACAAACTATTCAGTGGCTGTTCAAATGCTGTTGGACTCCAACACCAATCATGTTCATCCAGCATGGCCTATGGTTAGGAATGATAGGGCTTATAGTAAGAGGGCCACCAATGTCCTCTCTCTGCTGTAGTAATCAGAGAACAGAATAGCTACTTGTGTGTTCTCAGTATCACACAGAGTGCTTAGCTATAGCACCATTTTAAAAAATAAAATTGCAAGTTGCCAAATACAAAAAAGGGAGGGGGGAGATAGCAATAATAACCACACTGATAATCTAGAAATTTGGAATTTTTAAGGGACGCTGAGACTGAAAAGCAAACATGGACAATCCCTGACACATTGAAGTCCAAATTCCACTTTGCCCAGCAACTCAAGGGCCCCACTACTAACTCCCCAAAGGGGGGGGGAGAGCCCCCAAAAAAGCCATAGAAAAGAGCAATTGCATAATCCATTATCCATAAAATGGCTACCAACCACTTTCCTCCTTTTTCTAGGTATAGAGAAATCAGAAGTGATTCACCATTCCTTTCTTTTGGGACTGTGTCCCTAAATCTCTATAAGTTGGCTCATCTCCTGGAAGACACAGTGATGAATTGAATTCCCTACCTCTCACTCTTTGTACAAGTAGCCAGCTCAATAAGCTATCCAGTCAGCTAATTATTCATATATTTCTGAAGAGGATAGTGAGTTAGGTATCTGTTTGGAAATTCAATTCCCCTCTGTGAATCCCAGGTCAAGAGCAAGCTTGTACAGTCCTGGGCAAGATACACAGTTCAAGGGTGTCCTCAGAAGGGAATGGTAAAACTTTCTTTTTCTTTCTTTCTTTCTTTCTTTCTTTCTTTCTTTCTTTCTTTCTTTCTTTCTTTCTTTCTTTCTTTCTTTCTTTCTTTCTTTCTTTCTTTCTTTTTCTTTCTTTCCAGCAGCAGCAATAGTACTAGTAGCTATTTTTAAACTTATTTCACCTTGTTTAAATATAATTAGTATTTAACTATTGTTTACAGTGTTTTTAAATATAAAATTAGAGGGCTTAAACCTTTATTGGCTTGAGGAGATCTGCAATGTAGATTTCCTGATTTGAGTCCATTAATATGCAGTTGTAAACCATTAAGTATTTCATCTGAGGAAGACTTCTTCAGTCAGTTAAGTCCAATAATAGATTTTTTAAAAAATACAATTTTTCATTAAAAGAAATGTAAAGCATTCAGCTGTGCTGACTTTTTTAGGGGCGACAGATCACATGAATTATGGGGCACATTTTGGAGGTTTAGAACATTGATTTGGGGCTGCATGGTACATCCTTGCTCAAATAAAGCCTTTATGATTGGCATCTGTACATACATTAAAACACCAAAATGGTTCAACAACAAAAGTCCTGGGGTTTCCTTATCTAATACATATGTATGTGTGTAATACAGATAGGGTTACATGGTTTTTATGCAGTGGCTATTTAACAGCTGCAAAGATAAGTGAATTATTCACATCTATTCATCTCATTTTAATGCATATTCTATAATCCAGGTTAGGATGTAGCCTTTCAAATGCTGCCAAATATTGAAATGCATCACCAAGAAAAAAGATAAAGGAGGATGGAGATAGACATAAAATGTACATACAGTAGGGGGATCCAAATGTTTAGATACAAATTTAGAGGTCATGCTGTAATTGAAATAAAAGTGCAGTACTTGCCACTATTGTGGGACAATTGTGCTTATTTGACCTATTATATGTGTCTGCCTGTTCCATTTGCTTTCCAGGTGCTAGTTGTTGATAGTCAACTTGAAGGCTCTTGCTCACCTTTCTTAGAGTTCTTTCTCTTAAGACATGGACTGGACAACTTATAAAGTGGGAGACACCTTGAAATAATGGAACTGTCACCTGACACAGCCTTTCAAACAGCAAAGATATTATTCTGTTGAAAGGATACATGGCCTCCTTACTCCAGATTGGCTTGATTTTTATCCTTCGTAACAAAAACCTGCCTGTCCCTATTATCCATCAGTTATATCCAGCAGGCAATAGGTTAGTATAGAATGGATTTCCTCCAGCAACACATTTTATCATAGGACTAAGGGAAAGGAAGCAGAAGCAGTCGCTTCAATATTCTGGATATATATTTATTATATCATATTATTGTCATCTTGCATTAGCTTGAAGAGATTTTCTAGGCAACTTCTTTGGGCAAGATGGGGAGCAGCATCTTGTAAAGTTTAGCCTTTTGCTGAGTTTTTCACCAATTTTTATTTCTATTTTTATTCTTATTTCTGTGGAAAATGAGGGTCAATGTGTCAAGTGCTAATCTAAATACTGGAGTCCATTGAACAAACTAAATTGACAATCAATCCTACAGATAAAACTATAAAGATTCTGTGAGAATTTGACAGTTTTTCTACATGAAATATGTAGCACTTTGGGGGGGGGGTATTTTTGTCAGAATTATAAGATTTTCCTGACTAGGCTGATAAAGGCCAAGGACATAACGTGACTGGTGAGAGAGGACTTTGAAATTCGACCCAATCCAGGTTATAAACTACAGTATCCAAATATTTTCCTTTCCTGCCCACTCTCACCCCAATAATCTCATCTGAATCTGAGTAACCCTCATACCTTCTATTTGGCAAGTAATGGGGGGGGGAGTCAGGGGAAAGGATTGTGAGGGAAGTGACATCTCTGAGGAGAGAATGGCAAAAATAGATGAAATAAATACTTATTTTGTAGGTATGAAAACCATTTTGCTGGAACCCTGAGTCTTTAGAAAAGGTGTAATCATCAGAGATGGCTCACTTAAGGCTGTTAATGTATAAAAATGTCTCCTGCTGTGTGTTACAGGGATATAATTTTCATCTTGGGGTTTCTCTGACTAAACAGCTCAGCTGAGCTCTTTGGTGGGTGACATCAGAGAAATCCTCGGCAAAATTATAGCCCTGGGAATACCCCGGGGCTGCTTTTATTTCAACTAAAGATTTCTGGACAACTTGCATAGCACAAAAGAGGAAGTTAACAGTAAGCAGTAAAAATACTGTAATGTTTATTTAACGTGCAAGGTTTCCAATTCTGGGATACAAAAATTAAAAGGCAACCTCAAAACCAGAATTTTGAAAGGAACAACCCTGCATGTTTCTGTTTTGTGTGCACAGCTCGTTCGGCTTTTTCTTTAGAATAGTATTCACTTTATGCTACATAGCAGGATACCATGACCCACAAACAGGTCACAGAACTGATTGTGAGAGAACTCTCTCCTGTACCACAGCAACACATGGAAAGTAGTAGGCAGTCCATTACAGGCACCGTCTGCCCCCTAAAGCCCCCTCCCCTGAGGTCTGCTGAAATAAATGGGGACTGTTCCAGTGGGTTGCTTTTCTCATTCATTCTGGAAGTTAGTCTAGCTGTACATTTATAATGTTTATCGCTCGGGGGGAAACCACAGTACACAGGTAGAATACATGCCTGCCATGTAGAAGGTCCCAGTTTTAGTCGAAGGTCTTTCCAATTAAAGGGTGGGAGGTTGAGGTAATAAAAACAAGCAATGGCTCTGACCCTGGTGAGTCAGGAAACAACAACAACATGCATTGCTGAAAAGAAGAATTAAAAAGGACACTGATTTCCCTTAAACTGCGCACATTAACTGATGGGAAAACTTTGCAATTTTAGTGCATCTTATGTGAATAAAGGGTTGACAGCCCAGCAGCATCCATTCTATTCTCTTCAATTTCACAGCCCAACTCAAGGATCATTAAAAAGGGGACATATGGCTACCCTAGCCGGGGTAGAAGACTGGGCTGGGATGGACAAATAATTTCACCTGTTATAAACCAATGTCACATGCTCTGGTGAAATGCTATGCTTATTTTTGATCAGTTGTACCAAAGTCAGAAATACTGTTAGAGACAGAAACTACACATATTTATCTTTTTTTTTTTTTTTTGGAAGCTTCAGAATTAATTATACATAAAATCCTGATGAGCAGCCTTGACTTTTACATGAATGCTGATTTATTCACTTATTTGTCAGGAATATTTTCTTGACCATACTTTTTGCCTAAAAGCCAACACAGCAGTTCATAATAACTTTAAAACAAAGCAGTACATCAGCACAGAGCACCGCTCTCTGTGAAGGAGTCTGAGGCACTATACTGCAATTTAAAACTATTTCCACTCACATTGAGGAGAATGATTTAAAAGATGCCACCAAAGCTCAATTAAACTATCTAAAATGAATATCCAGGTTTCTCCTGCATGCTGGACAAAGTGTGGCTAGAAAAGATCAATAGCTCACCTATGGCAGGAACACCCCAAAGTGTTATTATTTGGGAGGGAAGTGGGAGGCCATATCTCAAAAATAACTAATCAAAACATTGAGTACTGTGTGGCTTTGTACATATTATCCACATATATATGTATGGTGGCAGCAGCATGCTTAGAAATAACAGCACAGTGGAGGTCACTAGAGAGACTGATGCTAGAGAATCAGTTTAACAGAATATGACAGCACTGTTAGAAAAACTAACACATGCTCTTAGAATGTCAAAAGGGAAAGCCAAACCGGACACTTTCTTTGCAGCACGGAACCTTTTCATTAAATATATCACAGGATTGGCAGGAAAGTTCAAACCGAAAGGACATTTCCCAACGTTTTTCAAGGATAGAAACTCAAGAATTATACAAATTCTCCACAGAAGGTAAGTTCGACCCCAAATATATGTTGTGCTTGTGTAACCGATTGTACTACTTTATGAAATGGTTGGGATGTATATTTTTTTCATCCTGAAATGGAAATAAAAAAGTTTAAAAACCTGTTAACATAACTATTACAATTATTAAAATAATAACAGGTTGTAAGATCTTTTAAAGGCTGGGTTAAAGGGATGCATCTTAAGACTGGTTTTTGAGTTTATAGCCAATATTTGTATCAAATAATGACGTCCAAGGTGGCGAATAATGATAAAAATTATAAACTGCTATTAAATAATGCCTCAGTAGAAAATGAACAGCACAAAGCCAGTTTAAAAGAAAACAAACAACCTTCCAAAACAAACCAGGTTAATTCCCAAAGGTCTGCTTGAATTTTTATTTATTTATTTATTTCCTGGTTGCAGAAATAAAGTCTGGGTGGGAAGTAACTTCTCTTGGAAGTGAGCTTCACACACATATTCCATATTTGAAGAGTTATGTATTCGCTACAAAATTATTTTCAAATGCACGAAAGCACAAGAACGTAAGCATTGCCAGCAAATATCCGAGGTGCAATCAGCCCTGAACATTACAGGTATCACTGTGGATTATTCATGCTGCTATTAGCTGGAAAGGTACAATACCTGAATAATTAGATATATAATTGGATATCGAAAGAGCTCAACTTCTGTTTCACATTGGAAGACATACCAGCTTCAATAAAGCTGGCTTCTTTATCTCTCTATACCACTCTCTCTTTCTCTGGAGATATACTTGTTATCTTGTTTTTGCCCATCATGGAGTTTTTCTGCCCCCCTTTTAAAAATTATTAATCTTTTAAAGAATGCTTCTGAGGTACTAACATATCCTCTTCCCAGTTTACACCTCTGTGTGGAGAGTTTAGCCTGAAAAACCCTGAGAGGAAATAAAATCTGAATTAAATCATATCTTGGCAATGTGAGGTGCATACTTACAAGACTACAAGCAGAAAAAAAAGGATGGTCATCAATTTAAGCATCAGGTTTTATCAATCTGATGAAAAATGAACTAAGACTTTTGGAGAAATTTGTTTTGTGTTCCATAATATTCAGAGTAGCTTTCTGTGTGGTGACATTCAGAGGGAGGTCTAGAAAAACAAGGGCAGAGATCCTTTTTTTGGATGAAGGGATCATCCAAATCCGAGCAGATTCAAGAACAGTTTTTACCCAAGTGCAGTATTGAGTTTAAATGCGGGGCCATAAGTTTTTGGTGGACTTTTTAATTGCTGAGAGAAAACGGGGTATCTATATTTGGATGGTGAAAGTTGTGTATATTTTAACTTTTTTTTTGTAGTGTTGTCCAGTTTTACCTTGGGGAAGAGCACCTCATTTCGTTGCACCCACTTGTGAGTGCAATGACAAATAAATTTCTTATGTCTTATGTCTTATGTCTTATGTCTTATAACTAACAGAAAAAAATTGTAAATTTGGTGCATAAACCAAGGATCCAATGGGCAGCATTTGCAGTGAAAGGAAAAGCATTTCCTAGGAAGGTGATCTACACCCACAATATACAGAGAGTCATATGAAGCGATCCCTGCACAAAATGAGGTTGAGAGTCATGGGTGTCCCACAAGGCCTGCTTCCCACCTCAGTCCTCAAGAAACAGCAAAAATATATGATTGGACATGGGAAACTTTCACTAGCAATGTAGCAGAGTGTCTTGTGCTTTTCAGCATCAATGTATCTGAAAGTCAAACCCCAGTTATGGTAATGTCATCCTGAAAAAGGTGGGAGAACACCTTAATAGGAAACCATGCATATGTCCTTCAGAAAACTGACATCTGGTTGAATAACATTTTCTAAGCAATATTCAAAGCTACTCTCTATAGCCACCTGCCCCACCTACCCACACACCACCTACCTTGCAGCCTGGCCCCTTCTAGCACCACAGGAAGTGCTTGGTGGTACCATCACTCAACTCTATGTATTCTGCTTTATACTATATAATGATTCAGCCATTTCTGAAGTGAAAGTAAGCAATACTTCATTTCGTTTCTTATATATATTCAGTTTAAGAACCTAAGCACTACTAAGTATTTCAGTTTCAGAAGGAGAACTTTGATTTGCCCTCATGCTGTTTCTTTTTATTTCCAAATATACTTGAATCCCAAAGAATTCCAAGCTGACTTCATAAATGCCCATGAAGCCCTACTTTTTATGGCCTCTCATATAACTCTTTACATGACTGTTTAATTTCCTATTTAGAACAAATTAACTGTTGCATGCTCTAATAAGCACAAAAAGGAAGCCAGATCCAGTCTGGAAGTATGTGGAGGTTACTCAGAGGTTTCCCAGATTGATGGTTTCACTTGGTAGGTGACCTTAATATGAACTTTGACTAAACTTTGCTCTTTGTGTACTTGGCAGCTGGCATTTGGAAAAGTCGTCCTTGTCTACAACTAGCATGTTCAGTACGAGACCCCTGCCTTCCATAGAGAGGAGCTTCATCATTTTTCATTCAACCTAAAGATTTCATCAACAGTTTTGTGTACGTTATATCCTACCCCCCCACTCAAGGCAGCTCATGGCAATATAGTAGTAAATACACTGGAATGGAACATTATTAATAAAACTTTAAAACAATGCAAACATTTAAATCAGTCAGCATATTTTAAAAAATTAAAAGCCAGTTTATATAGACGGATTCCTAAACTTTGTGAAACAGATTTCCAAGTTATTTCTTAGAGGGAGAAGGTCAAGAATCCCCACAAACAATTCTAGAAGAATTTTGGAAATTGCAGTGTTTAAAAGTAACTTTTTCTTGCTCTGTTATTCTTAATATTGGAACTGAAGGCATCAATCATCCAACCACTTGATGGACATTCCATAAATTAGAGCCCACCACCAAGAACCCTCTGTCCATGGTGGTGTCGGATTAATTTGAAAACTGATCTTCAAGGATGATCTTAAGGTATGGATATGTTCTAGCAACACTGCAATTATTTTTTCTGTTACTAAATTATATAGAAGAATATTAATAGTATGTAAAAGTAATTCTGTTATGGTATATCAAACAGCATTTGCAAAACCTATTTTGATGTTATTTTGCCAGCATGTGTTCCATTCTTTGAGAGAATTTTAAGCTGAGCATAGCCTCACTCCCTGTGGAAATCTGTCAAGTCACACACATGATAGAATTCAAAGAATTCATCACCACATAAAACCCATATGACAGCTCACCAATCTCATTTCTAAAGCTGTAGGATCTGCATTTACTGGGGTGGTACAAAAAGTCTAAGTGACACCTGTGCCAGAAGTTTGAGTTGTACAATTTAAGATGCCCAGTACAGAACACAGTCCATTAGGTATGTGTGATAGCCTATTCGGTGCCATAGGAGCACAGGAAAGAAGTTACCAAGCAATTTTAGATTAGGCATCCTTCAGTCCCGAGAGACTACGGTAACATGCTCTGTATGGAGGACTTGGAACAGCGTCTAGTGTGGCTGAGAATGCCAATTCGAGAGTGACAATCCCTTCCACGCTGAAGACAAATACAATCTGTCCCTTGTCCAGCTCCCTGATTTTGCTGGTTTTGGGACTGCCTCTTTGCCTCAGCTTTCTACTCTGTCAGAATATTGATCTCTCTAGCTCAGAGAGGGCAGCATGTCGGGCATGTTGAAGGCCCTGTCTTCATCCCCCATAATTTGTTACCACCAACAGATAGGTCCACCAGAAATCAGGGTCAGTCTCTCTCTCTCTCTCTCTCTCTCTCTCTCTCTTTCTCTCTCTCTTTGTGTGTGTGTGTGCGTGTGTTTAGTTTACATCCCATTTTTCTGTTTTGCAGGAACCAAAGGAGCTTACAACCTAAACTTCGAAAAGGTAACAGCTTTTTAAAAACCACAATAAATCACAATATTTAATACTTTTCAATAAGTTAACAAGCACTGAATTAACACAGTTTTAAAGCCATGTAAGAACACAACAAAAAGAAGTATAATACTTAAGGTTTAAAAGAACAGTACTCCCATTCCTTACCAGTGGCCAAAAACCTGAGTAAATAAAAAAAAATTAAATGATAAATAAATATTTCATCCTGTTTAATTTTATGATTTTATAATGATATTATTTCATTTTGCTCTTTTATGTTTTCAAATATTGCCACTATATACACTGCCCAGAATAGTGCCATGCACTAAGGAGTGGTAGATAAATGAAATAAATAAATAAATAATGCCCTTCCCTGACAACAGAAGGACAGCAGGGAGGGTGTCAGCCTGGCCTCCCTTAGAAGGGAAAATCATAATTTTTCAGCTGCTGCTGCATAACTGTCCTCACCAAATGCATATCTGAAGGGAAGGACACTTGACGCCCTGTATGTCGACATACGTAGGTCTATGGATTAGAACGGCATTCTGGTGCTATTTTGCTCCAAAGAGGGCAAGTGCCACCACCACAGAATTTCAGTGGAAACTATAATGGCCAAACAGTCAGGTGCTAGAAAATTTTTGCTGCAGCGAAATCCTGGGAGATTTTGGAAAGTCCAGTGTATCTCCTGATCCATGGAGGCTGCCCATCCTTGAAGGAACCCAGTATTCTCTGTATTAGTGGTTCCCAAACTTAGATCCCCAGATGCTCTTGGACTAAAACACCCAGAAGCCTCCACAACTAGTTGTCACAGAATTGCACATGAATCTGACTTCCCTACATGAAGCCTAACTTTCAGTTCAATGCCTGTTTAGTTGTTGCATTCATTTCCAGACAGATCATATTCTGGATGAAAACTCAGAAAATTTGCAAGTGTAGGAGACACAAACTCCAAAACCTGAACTTCATCCTCACCTGAGACTGCTCATATCAAACTAGTCCTTACTAGTGGGTTGTTTCAGGATTAATCTGAGAAAATGGACACGGTTGAAATTTTTACTCAGATTAGGTATAGTGCAAATCTCAGTTCTCTGTTTTATACAGGATGCCCAAACATACAAAATATGTTTAACCTTTTATTTTCCTGCACTAAAATAAAATGCATTTGTAATTACATTTTTGGAGTTATCCAGCAAGTTGTTTCCAACACTTGACTCACACTTGTGCAGGAGATTAGGTTTTTTCTCTAATAATGGCTGGATTGTTCAGTGGTTTAAGCACTGAAACTTAATCCAGACAAATCCATCAAAAGGCAAATCAAGGAATAGGGATGCAACTGGTACTGGATGGGATTGCACTCCCATTCTAAGCACTGAAACTTAATCCAGACAAGTCCATCAAAAGGCAAATCAAGGAATATGGATGCAACTGGTACTGGATGGGATTGCACTCCCATTTTAAAAACAGGTACTTTGCTTTGGGTTGCTCCTGCATTCATTCCTGAGTGTGGAAGCCCAGGTCTCAGTAGTGGCCAGGATTCCACTTGCACAATTAAAACCAGTGTGTCAGCTATGTCCATTTCTGGAGATATCTGATCTGGCCCCTATGACACATGCCCTAGTGACTTCCCAGATGGATTACCGTAACATGTTCTATGTGGGGCTACCATTGGTCTACCAACGGAAAGTATCAGGAAATTTCAGCAGGTCCAAAATGAAGCAGCCAGATTGCTGATGGGGACTGGTTACAGGGATCACAAAATCCCTTTGTTACAAGGGCGCACTGGCTGCCAATCCATTTCCGGGCACAATTCAAAGTGCTGGTTTTAACCTATAAAGCTCTAAATAGCTTGGGTCCAAGATATCTCATCTCCCACTATGAGCCAACTTGGGTGTTAAATATCTCATAGACCATGTCTCCCACTATGAGCCAACTTGGGTGTTAAAATCATCAAGAGAGGCCTTTCTCTCAGTCCTACTACCTTCACAGGTGTGTCTGATGGGGACACAGGAGATAGCCTTGTCTGTGGCGACTCCCAGACTTTGGAACTCCCTCCCACAGGATGCCAGGCAGGCCCCATTTTTGCTGTCCTTCTGCAAGCAAGCAAAGACCTTTCTCTTCAGGCAAGTCTTCCCTTATTAACTAGCTACCCATGGTGTGATTTTTTTTAAAAAAAAAGATTATTGTAATGCATTACTGCTTTGACTGGATTTTCAGAACTACTTCTGTTTTCCATTTTTTGTGTTTCCCATTTCTCAGTAGCATTTTTATCTATTTGTATACTTATTATTCTTAGCTTTAATGATGTAAGATGCCTCTTTATGCTCATTGTTTTAAGCATTAAATATTGTCTTTTAGTGTTGTTTACCACCATTGTATAATTCTTTCCAGCTTTAAATATTTTCAAGGAGAAAGGTGGGGGGTAGAAACAAACAAACAAGCAAATAAAGGAAAGTTTATATCATGGTTCAAATATTTTCCATTACATTTATCTAAAATTAAATGACCAAAGAATATGGGTGGTGGTGGTGGTGGGGGTTCTTTAAAGCATTTCCTCATGTTGCTACAGTGGGGTCTTGACTTGAGAACTTAATCCGTATTGGAAGGTGGTTCTCAAGTCAAAATGTTCTCAAGTCAAATCTGCATTTCCCATAGGAATGCATTGAAAACCATTTGATCCGTATCTGCTCTTTTCCGTCCATAGAAACTAATGGGAAGCGGCTGTTCCGCCTTCGACCACTAGAGGGGGGATATTTTGTTTCTTTTTTTCTTAGGTCAAGAAAGGTTCAGGGAAGGCAGGGAAAATACAGTCCAGGCAGTACAGTACCAGGCAGTCCGAAGACTGTCTCCCAATCCACTCTCTAAACGCTGGGAGGAGTGAGGAAGCAGACAGGCACCCTTTTCACTGCCCAACAGTTAACTGAAAGTTCAAATTTTGCACTTTCCCTGCCTCCCACGTGGGTTTTTTTCAGTTCTTAAATCTAAGTATGTAAGTCAAGTCAATATTTTCCTATGAGAGTGGTTCTTAAGTCAAAATGTTCTTAACTCAAGCCGTTCTTAAGTCAAGACCCCACTGTATTTAAATACTTCATTATGACTGTAGTAATACTCACAGAAAATAAGCAGACCTTTGAAATATATACTGAGTATTTAACTTGATATTGTTGTATATGTTGCTGTTACATGCCATCAAATCACCTCTGACTCATTGCTACCGTATGACTGAGCACTCTCCAAAATGTCCTGTCCCCAATAGCCCTGCTCAGCTCTTGTAGACATACCTCTGGCTCCCTTTAGGGAGTCAATCCATCTCATATTTAGTCTTCCTCTTTTCCTGCTGCCTTCCACCTTTCCCAGCCTTATTCCCCCCCCCCCCAGGGAATCTTGTCTTTTCATGATGTGCCCGAAATAATGCAATCTCAGTTTCATCATTTTTCAGGCTTATTTTGATCTAGGATCCACTTGTTCATCTTTCTGGAAGTCAAGGGTATCTGTAAAGGTCTCCTCTGGAACAACATTTCAAATGAATCATTTTTTTCCCTGTCAGCTTTCTTTACTGTCCAGCCTTCACACCCAATACATGGCAATTGAAAATATGATAGTATAGATGATTTTGGCTTTTGTCTCCAGTGACACATCCTCACACTTAATGTATCTAGTTCCTTCATTGCTGCCATCCCAAGTCTTTGTTTTCTTCTGAGCAGTCTCTGTTTGGATTGAATCCAAGTATACAAAATGTTTCACTGTTTCAGTTTTTTCATTGTCAACGTTAAAGTTATCTGTAGTCGTTATTTCGGTCTTCTTAATGTTCACCTGCAGTTTTGCTCCAGTGACACATCCTCACACTTAATGTATCTAGTTCCTTCATTGCTGCCATCCCAAGTCTTTGTTTTCTTCTGAGCAGTCTCTGTTTGGATTGAATCCAAGTATACAAAATGTTTCACTGTTTCAGTTTTTTCATTGTCAACGTTAAAGTTATCTGTAGTCGTTATTTCGGTCTTCTTAATGTTCACCTGCAGTTTTGCTTTGCTTTGTCTGTAGTTGTTATTTCAGTCTTCTTAATGTTCACCTGCAGTTTTGCTTTGGCACTTTATTCTTTCCCTTTTTCTAAAAGTCATTTCAAGCCATTGCTGCTTTCTGCCAGTAAGACGGCATCATCGGCATATATGAAATTATTGGTATTTCTTCCACCAATTTATTTCTGCCAGTAAGACAGCATCATTGGCATATCTGAAATTATTGGTATTTCTTCCACCAATTTTCACTCCTCTTTCATCTGAAGCTAGCCTGGGTTTCCTTAAGACTGAGCAGATAAGGGGATTAAATGCACCCTTGTCTGACACCCTTGCCAATAGGAAATCATTCTGGAGTTGTATAGTTAATCTGTATAACTAGGGATATAGTCTTGAACAAACTACACAGTCCCAGGGCACCTTAGAAAAAAGTAGTAGTATCAGAGAATTGTTACTAATTAACAAGATGCTGCTCACACTTGCACAACAAGGAATTTGTTAATTAGCAACAGTTTGACAGCATGATTTATGCAACTACATATAATCTGTCATAAATTTCCAATAGGATTCCAATAGATGGTGGATGTTCATTTCTTTAGGAGCGTAGGAGTGTGGTGAAACTGGGAATAGAGAGGCACAGTGGTCCCATTGCATGTGGCAAGTTTAAACAGAACAGAGGTTTAATTGTGTGCTTAGAAATGTTTGTGTAGCACACTGGTTCTTAACCTTGAGTTACTCAGGAGTTTTGGACTGCAACTCCCAGAAGTCTTCACCACCAACTGTGCTGGCTGGGGTTTCTGGGAGTTGCAGTTCAAAAACATCCGAGTAACAAAGGTTAAGAACCACTGGTGTAGCACATCAATTTTTTTAAAAGTACCAGCTCAGAAGGAAAGGTGTTAACAGAAGCACCGTGTATTAAGAGATGTTTAACTCTTCCCTTCCCTTTCCTCCTGAACTGGGATCTTGGTGAAATTCCCACATGCGTATGCAGCAATTAGCAG